GAACAGGTGCATTACATTCTGTAATTTGTTCATTAACGAAAAAGATTATGTAGTTGATAAAAATTGTGACAAGAATTTTCTATAAATGATTAAAATGGAAGTTGTAATAAAAAATAAAACACGAATCCCATAAAAAAAAAGAATAGTAACACTGTTTCCAAAGTGAGCATATATTCTCAGATTATGACAAAATTTTGATGTAAAGAATAGTAACACTGTTTCCAAAGTGAGCATATAATCTCAGATTATGACAAAATTTTAATGTTTTTTAAACATACGGTAAAACTTCAATTTTTAAAATTTATTTTCAGATATGATTTTCCGTGACCTTATTATGATGATCCGACACTGATTTTTGACTAATCGGGAGTGAAATGAAACATGTCAGAATTGAAGAGGAATGGATAACAAATTTTTTTTTTGTCCCCTTATTACTGTTGGCACTGATTTCTATCTAATCAGGCCTGAAAAGAGACATACATATAGTGAACATTTCCTAGTGAACGAAGCTCACTGACAGAAGTGTAATTTTTTTTAACTGTATTCATATTTTTTTTCTAACCCCTTATTATGGCCCGACACTGCCTTCTAATCTAATCAGGATTGAAGAGGGACGTATAATGAATATTTTCTAGTAACAAATCTGACTGACACTACAGGTCATAATAAGGCAAGTGTCATCTTTTACCTATATTCGTTTTTTTTTCTAATCAGCGGTGAAAAATGATATGTAATGAACACAGACACACAAACAGATGGTAATAAAACATCCAATTATACTTTTTTAAATGTAGCAACAAACTCCCTTGTTTAATATTTTATTTAAATATTGATGTAGACAATATTTTAGAAGTGAAATTGTGAGAGCAACAAATGTTTTAAAAAATGTAGGTATATACCTTGAATGTGGTAGCCGACACTTTGTAATTATTTTAAAAGTAGCAACAAATTCTGTTTTTAACTATTTTGATACTAAAATTACATGAAAAATTAAATTTGATTTAATTGATTTAATTGAGGTTGATGTCTGTAATTATAGTAATTTAAACTTTCTATGTCTGACCGAAACTCATGCAAAAGTTGCTTCTATTCATACTAAGCATATTAGTGGTTTTAAATTGTCTGGTTTCTATTGTAGAAGTGTTTATGACAAGGGCGGCGTTGCTATTTATACTAAAACTAATATTAATGTAAAAACAATTAATCTTGATAAATTCTGTAAGGATAAACATTCAGAAATATGTGCTGTGTCTTGGAAAGTAAACACCATGCACACAATTGTTTTCAGATCTCCTAGTGCACTTAAATTTATTTTTTGAAAATATTTTTAACGTGTTGGATTTTATATTTGTGCCTAATGCTAATATAATTTTAACCGGGGATTTTAATTTGGATTCGTCTGAGACTTGTCGGAATATAAATGTTTTTAGAAATTTGTGTCACGTTTTATCTGGTTTCGATTTGGTTCCGATGGTATGGTGGCCAATTCGGGTTACACACTCCAGCTCAACCATAATTGACCATGTTTTCACAAATATGATACGGAATAGTCTTACAGCTGTAGTTGACAATGATGTATCTGACCATAGAACTGTGCTGTTTCAGATTGATTACGGGCGGGATGAGGAGCCTTTTCAGGCTTCTCACTTTCGGAGAAGCTTTAATAATATCGAAGAGTTTCGATTAGATCTATTGAGAGAGCAGTGGGCTGTGGTATACAATACTTCTGATATAAATGTTGCATATGAAGGTTTTCATAATACTTTTTTATATCACTTCAATAAAAGTTTTCCTCGGCGGAAATTTTATAAGAAAAGTCATAAGTGGTGGGTAAATGACGCTGTAAGAACATCCAGTGTTAAACTGAAAGACTTGCATATTTTCAGAGCTTTGTATCCCGAGTTGAACCCCTTTTATAAAATCGCAAGAAAAGCACATGCTGAATTAGTTGGTAGAACAAAAAAGGAATTCTATCAAAGTAAAATTGTAAATTCTGATAACCCAACCCGTACCGCTTGGAGAGTAATCTCAGAACTGTCCAATAAGTCTAACATTGTTAAAAATATAAGTATAAAATTAGATAATGGAGAATTGTGTACTGATCCACTGTCTGTAGCTTCAATTTTCAATGATTATTTTATAGATGCTCCCCTTAAGTTGATTGAGAATATTCCATTGGCTAATTACCCCATTTTTAGCCAAAATCAAATGTACCCCTCTTTTTTTATTCAACCGTATTTGTCTGACGAGTTGTTGATTTTATTAGGAAATAAATTAAAAAATAAAAATTCATCGGGACCGGATGATGATCCGGTTTTCATCATAAAAAAAGTTCTGACAGCTATTGTAAAACCTCTTTGTTATTTAATTAATTTCTCCTTTCAGACTGGGTCATTTCCAGACTATCTGAAAATTAGAAAGGTTGTACCTGTTATTAAAAAACACGATTGTCATAATGTGGGAAATTATAGGCCAGTGTCCGTCCCTTCATGTTTTTCCAAAATATTCGAATATTGTTTTCACGATAGATTAGTAAAATTTCTCAACAAATATGATATTGTTACAGATAAACAATGTGTTCTGTGCGGGTAAATCAACCACAACCGCTTTACATTCGTTTTGTGAAAGGGTTATTGAGCTTATGGAGTCAGGTGAGTGCCCTGTTGGGATTTTCTGTGATCTCAGCAGGGTATTCGACTGTGTGAATCATGAAAAATTATTACAAAGGCTAGATGGCTATAGTATACGGGGGGTGGCCTATGAATGGATCTCTTCATTTCTCAAAAATCGAACACAATATGTAAGTATTTCTTGTTCCTCAGTTGGTACTGTTCAAAGAATAAATTCAGGATACAGGGAAGTGGGTATGGGTGTGCCACAGGGCTCGATATTGGGACCAGTATTATTTGTGTTGTACATGAGTGAACTTGATACCTTAATATCCGCTGCATTCCCAGTTATGTACGCTGACGATATGTCGCTAATTGTATCTGATAAAACTGATGATGCACTGGCACTCAAATGCAACTCGGTCCTAAATAAAGTTAGCAATTGGTGCGGCTCTCACTCATTATATTTTAATCCCTCAAAAACATCTTATATTAGATTTCATAATTATCAGAAAAAATGTTCTAAACTAAATGTTCAGATATACAACTCTCCATTGTCTGATACTATAACAACTGTCAATTTTCTAGGTTTCACATTGGACGAGTGCCTAAATTGGAAAGAGCACTGCACCAGCCTAATAGCAAAATTAAATTCTCTGTGTTACTTGTTTAGAAACTTGAAATCAGTTCTGACAAAGCATCAGCTTATGAATTTGTATCATGCTCAAGTTGATTCCCACTTGAGATACGGTGTATGTTTTTGGGGGGATACTACCCTATCACCTGGTGTATTTATTGCCCAGAAACGGGTATTGAGATGTATTGCGGGTATTCCAAGTTATCACACGTGCAAAGCTTTGTTTAGGGAATTTGGTGTGTTAACTCTTACAGGATTATTAATTTTTGAACTGTGCATATATATTTTTAAAAATCGAGCAACATTCAAAATGAATAGGGACATTCACTCAATTAATACGTGTCAAAATGGTGACTTCCGGATGCCCCTATATAAATTTAATATATCACGAAATTCTCCTAACTATCTTGGTTTGAAGCTTTTCAATCATCTACCAGAAGAACTAAAGCGAATCCAGTTTTTTTTAAAGTTTTAAATATAAATTAAAGTTATTTTTAGTGGACAGATGTATTTATTCTGTAGATGAATTTCTGTCATCTTAGGTTAAGTAATATTGACTATTCCTATATATGTGTACACATGTCTTAAAGGAAAATAAATGCATTATTATTATTAGTGTATGGCAACAAAGTTTCAATGCGTAAAAAAAACAAAAATTCCAGATACACTATAATCGTAGAAAAAAAATAAAAACGATTGTTTCAATTTGATTGTTGAGGCGTTTACTGCAATAGTGGCCTAACTTAAAAAATAGCATTTGTGAATAATTAAGGTTTAAAATATAGTGATATTTGTAATGGTTCTTGTAGTGAGAAGCAATTTAATACATTTATTTTAAATTTGGGAAAAGGTTCACCACGTTCATTGGTAATCACCATACCATATAATTTTACATTATAAAACACCGAACATTACCAAAAAAACATAGGCCACTTGTGCAGGTTATTATATAATTTCAAGAATATTAGGTCAATTATAAACAAAAACTATGAAACTATACTAATAACTTTTATTGAAAAATCAATAGGAAATATTCGTTCTGTGACTATATAATGTAACTGTATAAATATATGTATATTAAACATAATAAGTTATTCTTCTTATCTCCATTAAGAGAATTCTACAGGATCGTATTGTCCATTGGGATCATCATCTGTATTTATGGGTGTATTTTGTTTTACTCGTAGATCAATATAAAACTTGTGAAAAATTGGAGGTACATAGGGTAACAAGTCAGTAAGGTTATTGTACTTTAAACTATCAATCTCTTTCCCGAAATCTGTATTTCCACATTTAGGCCACTATTGCAGTAAGCGCCTCAATTGTTTTTATTATCATCATATGGGTGATAAATTGAAGAGGGACCAACTGCGACTATTTGGCTTGACAATGAAATTTTTTTTTAATTCCCAAAACTTCCTCTAAGATTAAAAATACTCTGAATTATTAAATATTTATAGTTTTTTACCATATATATGGTCAAGCATTCATGCAACAAACTATTGACTTTTGTCAATTTCTTGTCATGCTATGACTCCAAATAATGAATGTTAATAATACAAAAAATTATTAATATTGTATGAATTTGACTAGTGGCTGTTTGGAGTATCATTTTTCGAATTGTACAAAATAAAAAAGTCTCAACGAGAGGGTTAAGTGCTTTAAACATTAAAACTTTGATTTTTTTGAAAAATCACTAATATACAATGCTAAGCCAATTAAAAATATTGCAATAATACTGAATATACTCTTACCTGTGAAAAGTTCTGGAAAAAGCAGCATCCATAACGTATATATCAGGAGCCGTGAAGAACTTTCCATTTTAATGTCTCACTTAAACACTACACGATAATATTAAGTAGGAGCAATAGAAACAGACATCTTATTATTTTTCCACTTTCATTGCATATTTGTACTAATTTATAGCCAATTCAAAGAATATTGTGGTTTGTTTCTACTTATCTGTTAAATTTACATAAACAGATAACTTATCATTATATTTTTTGTCTTCTGTTGATTCATGTAACATATTTATCTTCATGTAACCTTGCCAATGGACTCCTCAGATATTTGATCGAATAAACTTGTATTAGTTGCATCAATTTAAGTAGATCCATATCCAGGTTTTTAAGAAAATTGCTGTTTCTGAAACAAAATATTGTACATGAATATAATTAATATACAGTAAATAAAGTTATGAATTGTAATTGTTAGTCTAGTGTATAATGTAAAGCAACAAAAAAAATCACTCGTTACTTCTGACTGGAGCATACTCTAAAAGTAAATATAAAATATGTGGGTACAATACTACATTCGACAAAATATACCATACCCAAATATGCAATGAATAAAGTTAGGGAAACAACAAACAAAAAGTTGATCATCCTATACATACATATACTTAATTGCATGTCCATGTAGTTTTCGGATAGAATGCAACCGTGCCTATTATTGTATAAGATTAGTTGTTAGATAGTAATCGTATTTCAAGATTTACCACAAAAAACATCGTTATTTTACTTCAAAACGTTTTTAAACAGAAGCCACAGAATTTTGACATTTCAACAGTTTCCCAACCCACATAACCCTACTTACATATTAGCGCTTGTTCTTCTTTGGATAATATTTGAACTACTGACAACTTCACAGTCTAATAGTATAGATTTTACAATTGTAATGTAACTATGATACAACTACTGTGTCCAGCTGAAATTATAAACACATTATGCATTTAATTAATTAAAACATTGTAAAATTAGTCAGAAATCAGTAGGGTTGGTCATTTAGTCATCGATTATTTAAATATCGCTATGAACCATCAAATATAAAAATATAAATATTTATTTAGTTGGTTTAACAGCTTTACAAATTTATAAATTTTCAGAATAGGTTTAATAAAACTGAAAAAGGCATGGTATAGGTATTCTACTAAGTATCGTATTTACTTGAATCACATTTGTAGTCGTAACCCACCCAATTTTGAATAAAATGTACCTCTGAGTATTTATATGTAGAAAAATAAAATATAATTAAGAATTTACTGCATTATAATTCATTTTGAATTAAACAACAAAATTATGTACGAGTAGAACAAGTAGGTAGCATTTCCACACACTATTAGGTAGGTATTTAATTTTCACATGTTTTGAACAATTTATTACGCAATCCAATACTTATTTTAATCTAAATTACTACAACAGTTAAATTTTGAGTTTTTTATACATAAATGGCCATAAATAAATTGTCTTTATATAAAGATCGTAAAACCCATTTTGAGGCGAACGACTAAAACAATCAGTTGCGGTATTTTATTAACCTAGGAACTTTAGTAAATATCGCAACTGATTGTTCTCATTTTGACCCAACATTGGTACTATATGTTTCTAAACCAAGGGTCGGCAACTGGCGGACCGCGGTCCAGGTCCGGACCGCGGAAGGTAAAATACTGGACCGCCAAAAATTTTTTGAAAGTATAAAGTACTCAAATAAATTATTTAAAAAATGTTTTTTACATTTAAGTGCCAATCTTATAATTTTTGCTAGTATTTTACAAATGTGTGAGTGTTTTGAGTTCTTAATGGTTAGTAAGTAGATTAAATTTGAGTCCAAATTAAATAAGAAATAAGAAATATGAATTTTTTTCTGGACCTCGTTAAAAATTTTCAAAAGTATCAGGACCCCACCTAAAATTACTTGCCCCTGTTCTAAACAATCAACAAATAGATACTTATATTAGGAAATGATACGTCGATGTCAAAATGGCGTTGGTGCGTAAGACCTTACTTAAAGCAAAAATAAACAGCAAACTTGAATTTAGTTAATACCACGACCAAGACGAATTTAAATAATGTTTAATTGATCTTATTTCGAGCCATATTTGCACTATATCTTTGAACCAAACAAAATTCACTAAAAAATTGTTGAAAAGTTAGGGCCAGTCCCATTCTTATCGTTTTTTTTTACGAATTTATTGTCATCAATAAATTGACGATAACTTTACGTATTAAAGCTGTTTTACATTGACAATTTATTGATGAATAAATTGACGATGTTCTTCATGAATTAATTCACGAATTTATTGGTAAACAGTGTGGTTTTACACTGCTACAGACTTTGTCAAGTTTTTTGACGTATGAATCAGTTCTACCAATGAATCAAAGAAGCAAATAAATTTCAAAAATGTCACCTTTCCACTCATAATTGTAGTGATACAACAGCGGTACCGTTCTGACACATATTATATAAATATTAGTTTTTGTAAGTAACAAATCAGTAAAAACAATGCAAAACTAGTACGACGCCACACAATTATTTACATATTCCAATAACATAACCTCATTACTGATCTGAGGCTGGAAATCTGTTGGGTTGGTACTTCCGAACTTCACGAAGAAATTGACGAAAATTAGAACATGCTCTAATTCGTCAAGAACTTGATGAAGTTATTTGACAGCTGATTTCGTGCATTACACTTGTCCAATTTCTTGATGAAGCGACGTCATCAATTAATTGATCAATAAATTGTCAATGTAAAACAGCTTTTATAAGTAACAATTAATTCAAGGTGAAAAAACTGATCAACTGCTTTGATTAAAACAGTTAAGACAGACATCAGAGGAAGCTGTATAATTTTCAGGTTTCACGTGACGTGAAAAATTGAGCCTATGCTTTTATATACATTTAAATATGTAGTACATACATAGCTGCACGCCACCCTCTTTATAATAGTTATCACAAGTAATACCACCATATTCTTCACTGTTTCGCACAAATTTTAAACTCATGAGTCTCGTAGGGCCAAACAAAATGAATGTACATTTACTAACAAATAGTTAGAAATATTGTATGATATAAAATCATCAAATTATATAGAAAAAAAGATGAATGAAATTCGCATTTTTAGAACGTCATGTGAACTCATATGTGATACGTATATGATGTAGCAATATTATATTTAGGAGGCAGAAGTTAATTAAAGGCACAACAGTATACAAGGTGGTCACTTTTAAGGTGTACAATATACACTATTAGTATCTCCTGAACCCGAACTAGAAGATTTACAGGGCTGCTGGTTCAATAAAAAAAAGTTGCATGTTTTCATGCCATTTCGCTTTATTAAAAGAAACTGGAGATCAGTTACACCGTTCTTTCTTCTTCTTTATTATTGATATTTATGAAAATCAGTAGGTACCTACCTATGTATACATAAGGGGAATGTTAAAACATCGCCCAGGTCTACTAGATCCTTATATTTTCATAACCAACATTTTTTTATTGACGCCATATAGAATTTTTGAATATTATATGACGCTTTAAATTTCAAGTTCAAGGTGTATAATACTTGGCTGAAGAGATTTTATTAAAAGGCAAAAAAACAAATTTATGATATGATCATAGTGGCCATGAAAAAAAACAAACAAAAAATTTCCAAATTAAAATGCATCAATTCAACTAGACATTATCTGTGACTGTGATTAGCGGTAAAATAAGGGGCAATTGTGGCTAATGGACACATCTGATATGTTTTCGAAATTCAGGTCGAGATGTTTGAATAGCCAAGCGTGTATTTGAAATTTTGAGTTTTCAAGTAGCTGCATTCTATATCACAGTCTAATGATTGTATTCTAACATTAAGTCAAAATATATATATCTACTAGTAAATATGACTTATGTGTAGTTTTTATATAGTTACTTTCAGTAAGGCAATTGGTCATTTTTGCATTTTAGTCCTGACGGTATGTGTTTCAAAAAGCCATATTTGGGTGAATCGTATATCCACGGAGATTTTTGGCTTTTTGGCTTTCAAATATCACTAGAAATGAAAATTTTTCTATGCGCATAAAAAAAACGTGGGCTTAACTTTTGGCGGCACAATATGTTAAAAAAATTCGAAAAATGTCATATTTTTCTTCCTATTTAATTATGTATCTTTTCAAGAGTTGATTTTAGGCGAAAATGGAAGAGGAAAAAAATGTTTGTAATTAAATTTTTTACAATACATGACTAGTTACAAATCGAATGAATCATGATTATTATGGTAAAAATCGAAAAAATCACAAAAATGGGGTTAAAAAACAATACTTTTTAGGGAATTTTTTTGGTGTATTTAAATTGGGTGTAGGACCTTTATACTTGGCTCAAGAAAACTTCATGTTATGTAGAATCATCACACCAAATTTCATCAAAATCGGTTCGATAGATTTTGCATAATAATTTTGCAATCCAGATTTTGAAAAAAAAATTGCAAATTTTCAAAATTTTGCACAGCAAAAACCAAGGCCCTTAGATACTTGAAAATTTAATCACATATAGAAGGGCTCTCAAGCTTTCAAACTTTTTTTGAAAAATTCGAATCCGTCAATTAGGAGAGCTCTGGCGCTTGTTTAAACATTGGTCGAATTTTTGTACTTATAAACAATTAGAACTTTGTGAATATTCAATCAAATCAAATTTTTTAAAGCAGGTTTTAAAAGTTCTTGGAAAGACGCTTCTTTAAAAAAAAACAGATCGATTGATCAATTAGTTACGTAGTTATAGCCGTCATTTACACTAAATGTACTGGGACATCCGGGCTAATTTTTCGAAAAATACCTTTGGTATTCCGAGTACTTACCAGGTCTAAGATTACAATACTTTTCTTCATTGGCAACCTACTTTAAAACGTGTTTAAAGTTATTTATGCAAGCGAGAAATTCAATAAAATCGTACGGGTGGTGGTGGTGGGGGAAGCAGAGAGCGCGGCCGCTTCGGCCTGCTCGAAATTGAATCGGCTATAACTACGTAACTAATTGATCAATCGATCTGTTTTTTTTTTAAAGAAGCGTCTTTCCAAGAACTTTTAAAACCTGCTTTAAAAAATTTGATTTGATTGAATATTCACAAAGTTCTAATTGTTTATAAGTACAAAAATTCGACCAATGTTTAAACAAGCGCCAGAGCTCTCCTAATTGACGGATTCGAATTTTTCAAAAAAAGTTTGAAAGCTTGAGAGCCCTTCTATATGTGATTAAATTTTCAAGTATCTAAGGGCCTTGGTTTTTGCTGTGCAAAATTTTGAAAATTTGCAAATTTTTTTTCAAAATCTGGATTGCAAAATTATTATGCAAAATCTATCGAACCGATTTTGATGAAATTTGGTGTGATAATTCTACATAACATGAAGTTTTTTTGAGCCAAGTATAAAGGTCCTATACCCAATTTAAATACCCCAAAAAAATTCCCTAAAAAGTATTGTTTTTTAACCCCATTTTTGCGATTTTTTCGATTTTTACCATAATAATCATGATTCATTCGATTTGTAACTAGACATGTTTTGTAAAAAATTTTATTGCAAACATTTTTTTCCTCTTCCATTTTCGCCTAAAATCAACTCTTGAAAAGATACATAATTAAATAGGAAGAAAAATATGACATTTTTCGAATTTTTTTAACATATTGTGCCGCCAAAAGTTAAGCCCGCGTTTTTTTATGCGCATAGAAAAATTTTCATTTCTAATGATATTTGAAAGCCAAAAAGCCAAAAATCTCCGTGGATATACGATTCACCCAAACCAAAACAGATACCGCCTAGTCTATTTAAAATCATGTTTACAACTAGTTTTTTGACTGAAAAATAAAAAAATAAGTTCTAAATTTGATTTCCTTTAATTAAATTGAATAAATTAATATGGTTAATCGTCCTTGCTATTTAATTTAAATAAGATTTT